ATTTAAATTGCAGCAAGGGAGATTTAGGTTGGACATTAGGAAAAACTTCCCACCAGGGTGGTTAAGCACCGAAATAAATTGCTTAGGGAGGCTGTGGAATCTCTGTCACTGGAGAAATTTAAGAGCGGGTTAGATAGGCACCAGTCAGGGGTGATCTAGATGGTGGTGGGCCCTCCAATGACGGCAGGGGACTGGATTTGATGTCCTCTCAAGTAGGGATGTTACATTACAATTAATTAACTAATCGTATAGTTAATGGGATTTCATTGACTATTCGATTAGTCTATAAGGACGCCTCTGCCTTTGAACTGCAGCGGGAGCCCTGCTGGGCTCTTGCTATAGTTCTAAAGCAGAAGCCCCGCAGGGACCGTGGGACCAGCGAGAGACCCTGCTGGCCTGGCACTCCTTGTGAGGCTTCTCCTTTTGGAATGTACAAGAGCCCCCCTTGGGCTCTTGTACCGCTTCTGCTACGATTCTGCTTTTGAAATGTATGAGTGCAGACTGGTTCAATCCCCCTTGCGCTGTTTCCTGCTGTGCCTCTACCTACATGGTCCCCTGCGTAGACTGTGCTGGGGGAACCGGCTTTTGGCTCCCCCCCAGCACTGGCTCCTGCTTCCCCCCTTGCTGCCTCTCTCTGATAGAGGCAGCAAGGTAGGGGTGACTATTCACATCAGTAGTGGACTATGTGATAAGCTTATGCTTATCAGATAGTTGACTGGTTGCTTACATCCCTACTCTTGCGGTCCCTTCCAGTTCTAGTATTCTGTGTTTCTATTTGCAGGCTAGTATATTGATACATAAGAAAACCAGAAAGTCTGACAACTTAGCTCTCGACTGTGAGATCATAGAATAGAATACTAGAACTGGAAGGAAACCCAAGAGGTCATGTTGAAAGAAAGCTATGCACCCTACATAAACAATTAGGTGCCTACTGGTTTTCTGTCACTTGGCATTCATTGTATACTTCGAAGACCATGTCAGAAATTTATGAATATGGAGAATGAAAAACCATCTCACTCCACAAGGGTGGGATCCCATTCAGAGGAGTACCAGAGCAATATGTGGAAACATGCAGTTTGGTCCCCCATTTTGTGGTTGGTTGGTCTGTTTTTTTGTTTTTTTTTTAACCTTATGCTTGTGTAAGTTTTGTGAGACTGTTTCCTAGCACAACTGCTGATAAATGCATCTTTTGATGGGTAACTCTTTACTGTCATGTCAGATGCCTGTCTGATATTTGACAAACCTTTTCTTATAGTTATAGTTCCAGAGGTTTTTTTGTCTTGCAGTAGTGGTACTGTGAAACAATGTACATAGAAACTTTACTTATAAGATAGACCAAATTTAACATTTCCACAGCCAAATATAAAAATCAATTAATTATTTACTGTTCCTTATAGTGTAGCTATCCAATAACTGTCTAACCAGAATGTTAGGTACTGAATGTAATTAATCATTTTTACTTCTCATAATTGATGTGGGTTAGGTTACTTCCATTTCTCTGCAGAATTTACTTAATTTGCCATTTTAAAATGGTTGACTTTTGCCTGAATAACTTGACTAATTGATACCCTGTATTTGTACTGTGAGCATTTCATACTGTTACATCTCTCTGGTGTGGTCTACATGGCAAATCTAAAACTATTTGACAGCAACCTTTTGATTTTCAATTACAAATCTTACATTTCAGAATGGTTTGTATTTGTTGGAAGGGGCTTAAATTTTCAACCTTTAACTCCTTTTGTTAGGAAGTACATAGGCACACACAGCTCCACAAACTCTTGATCCAGACATTGTCAGAATTTCCTCTGCTCATTTTCTTTATTTTGAAATTAAGGTTTGTGACTTGATTTGCCTGGTTCTTATAGGTTTTTAATGTTTGGGGTTAGCTGACTGAATGTCAGTGCCACTGAGCTCCTAATTGTCATGGAGGATGTGATTATGATTTTTTTAAAATTATATTTTTCTCTTCCAAAATGTCTCAACTTTTATAGTACATTTGTATAGGGCCATATATGAGGACTATTGAAATTATTGGCTTGGCACATAATACATACATAACTGTGGGTTAGCAGAGTTGTAATGTACCTTGGAATCTTCAGTTTAGTAAAAGACCATGCAAGCTTAAATCGTAAGTCAAACTTCCCTGGAGCCACAAGGCTCATTGCCCACACACACAATTTAGGCACATCAGTTTCTTAGGCAATGTGTATAAGAGTGCTGTGATCAGCATTGTGTCCAATCACCTTTGACTGCTTGTCCCTAACCCAGTGAATCAGATAATCCAGCTGCAAAATGTGTAACTGGATGTGGCTTTCCAGTGTGAGGTGGAGCAAGAGAGACTTAAACCCATTTTCTTCAGGAGCATAGACAAGTTTTCTTTATAATTCAACCACTGCAGTTCCCCTATGACACAGGTGGTGAAGAAAATCATTGCATTATCCATTTTACTAACAGCCTCATCAAATATTAAAAGTGAAACTTCTAAAAATTGAGCTTGTCAATATTTTGGCTGTTTACTTTGTCTCAGCATGGACAATGAAAATCAGTGAGGTCAGTTTCCCTTTGCAGCTCTTAATGCTGCAGTAGTTTTGAAACACTGCATGTTTGCTTAAAACAACACTCATTTTTTTTTATAAAACTGTGGAAAAATTTGTACAGGTCTCTAGTGTTCTACAAATATTATTTTCACAATTTAAACTGGTACATACTTACTTTGACAGTGCCCCTATAACTGCTTTCTCTAAGACATCAGAAAGCCTGATAAGCCCTTGCTAGATGTAACCAGCATTACTTTTCACAGATACTTCACACAGTTGTATCTAAGTCAGTGTTTCCCAAATGGTGTCCCACAGAACCCCAGAAGTAAAAATAAGGGTTCCACAAGAAAATTCCATTACAATAACATTTTACGATTTAAAAAAATAATATTTATGCAGTTATGAATTGTATTGAAAACCATTTTCATTTGTGTTTGCTACGATAAGTGTTCCTATGTAATGCCAGCTTAGCCAGAGAATGGGAACGATGATGTCACTACGCAGCGCTGTGCGCGCAGTCAGTCAGTGATTGCCTGTTACGTACCACTGTAAGGGTGTGTCTAGACTACAGAGTTTTGTCGACAAAAGTGGACTTTTGTCGACAAAACTATACCTGCGTCTACACTACCGCTGAGTTCTGTCGACATAACGTCGACAGAACTCAGCAGTTTTGTCGACGCTGGTAAACCTCATTTTACGAGGCATAACACCTTCTGTCGACAGAGTTCTGTCGACAGAAGATGTTATTGCATCTAGGGTTGTGTCTAGACTACAGGGTTTTGTCGACAAAGCAGCTTGCTTTGTCGACAGAACTGAATGTAGTCTAGACGCTCTTTGTCGACAGAAGCTTTGTCGACAGTATTTGTCGACAAAACTTCTGTCGACAAAAGCCTGTAGTCTAGACGTACCCCAAATCTCCGTACTCACTCTCAGGGAGTGTGAATCACGTGGGTGACTGAATACGAATATACTAGTGCTGTGTCGAAGCTTCAGCTGTCAAATCAGTTGCTTGTATGGGGGTGCACAGGCAGTGTTCTCGCAAATACTTTACTTCAGTATAGTTGCATGATTTCTTGTATTTAAAAATTTAACTGTGAAAAATATAAATTGACTATGATAGATTAATCTTCATATCATAACCTTGCTTAGCATTTGTTTATTATTATCCTTACTTATTTATGGTCTACTTTTTCAGCTTTCTATATAAGACTGTTATTAGGGGTTCCTCAAAATTCTTTCGAGTTTAAAAGAGTTCCGTGGCAAAATAAAACTGATCTAGGTAAATCTCATAAGTGTATATGGTGAATGCTTCCTCCTACTCTTGACATGCTCCTTTCCCACCAAAGATCAACAGCTATTTGCAGATTTCTGAAGCAATTTCCAAGCACAGCTTTGGTTTAATAATTGGCTTCAGAGGTAACTGTAACGTTCACACTTGAATAATAATAGTTTCAATTAATAAACTCTTTAAATGCCTGTTTGACTAACCAAGTTTCTATATAACATGGAAAAGTTGGACCCTTTCAATATGTAAAGTTCATTTTTAGAGACTATCCATAAATGAAGTGAATGGGTTCTATTCTTTTAGGCAAAAATACAGTTGGCAAGTAGTGATTCATAAAGAGCCATTTCAATTCCCATAGAATAAGCCAAACATTTTAGTTTAATCAGACTGCATTTTAAAATGGCCTAGTAGATTTTGTGTGCTTCAGCCCCACCAATGCGGGCTTCCCAATGCTGTGGGGGGCCCTGAGCCTTGTGGCCAGATCCAGTCAAGCTGGGGCGGGGTGTATCTGGCCACCAGGCCATAGGTTCCTCACCCCTGATTTAACGTAATGAGCCCACTGGCTGTTACTGAAATACAAATAATAAATTATTTTAAGATATAATTACAGCACAGATTTGTGCCTTTAATACACAAATATCTGTCTTATCCAACAATCTAGAATGGATGTAGGTATTTTCTCACAAGTAAAGTGTAGGTAATACTGACTTTGAACATATTAGCAATTGTGTTATTTAAAGAAATTACGTAGAAATTCACATATCCTCTGAGCAGTTAACTGCACTGAACTGGAAGACTAAATTCAGTTAGAGTGAAAAAAAAAAGAGACTTCTGTCCTATTTTAAATGTTAATTTAATCTCAACTTTTAACTATAACTTCCCAAATATACCCCATCATAGGTGTTCCTGTTTTCCAGGAAATTGTGCTGATCCTGATCTCTACCTAGAAGCATGTGTATATAATAAGTACGCAAGATCCCTTTATAAGGTTATAGTGCAAATCTGATGAGAACTATTTAGTTTGTGCATTTTCCTTAGTAGATGAGAGGTAGCAAAATTCACTTTCTGACAATAATCTCCCTGAAATATGCTACATCAAGGACTTTATCCATTTTAATCTTTGTTAGATGTTAAAATAGCTTTGGCTTTGAGAACTGACTTTATCTTTTTGCTCCTAGTCAAATTGCAACTTCAGGCAGAAGAAAGAGGAGTGGTGTCAATCAAAGGCGTATGCGCAAATCGTTTTCTTGCAATGAAGGAAGACGGCAGATTATTGGCATTGGTAAGCAATGCTGTATTTTCATTACTTTCATTACTTGTCTTCATGCTTAGCAGCTGATGTTCCAGACATAGGAGTTAATCAATTACCCAGTGAAATTAAATTGTTAATGGCCAACTTGTGCCTCCAGCAGCCCTCTTGAGTAAGAGGGCTAGGAAGTGGAAAGATGTGGAGGCATCCTTTCCCACTCCTAGGCAGCAGAGCCCCTCCATCCATAGTGGCTCTTACCTGTAGATGGTGTAAGGCCAAGAGAAAATGTAGTGAATTTGTTTAAAGGGAATCAGTCAATTTAAAGAGAATCAGTCAAATTAAAACAAAATCCACTTGCTTCCAGAATTGAAATGACTACCTTTGTTACAGTAATCTTAAATTCCACTTTAGCAATTAGAAGGGTAAAAACTGTTTTCAAATTCACTTGATTTCTGTGTTTTGTTGACAGTCTTTCATGGTTTAGTCTTTATAGTGAGTCAGTTTCGTTCTGTGTGGCTTATCCAGACTGGAGAACTAGGAGAGAAACACTTTTGAAAATGTTTGTAAATCTACAATTAGTAAGTAGATTCAAGGAGCAGATGTGGCACTTGAATCTACTTAATTTTTAAAAATGAACTGGTTTCAAGCTCACAATGCTCCTATATATTAGGTAGTAGCAGCATTACCATCCCTGTAAGTCAATATATTTGGCATAAATTGTATTTTAACATCGATCCATAGATATTTCAATTCTGCTTCAGAACCTAAAGTGTTAGGACCATTTTCATTTTACCACACACAAAGGCTACGTCTAGACTGGCATGATTTTCCAAATGATTTTAATGGAAAAGTTTTTCCATTAAAAGCATTTGCGGAAAAGAGCATCTAGATTGGCATGGATGCTTTTGCGCAAAAGCACTTTTTGCGGAAAAGCGTCTGTGCCAATCTAGACGCAGTTTTGCGCAAGAAAGCCCCGATCGCCATTTTCGCCTTCGAGGCTTTTTTGTGCAAAACAGTTTTTAGCTGTCTGCACTGGCCCTCTTGCGCAAAAGCATTTACGTAAGATGGCTTTTTCCCGAGCAGAAGCAGCATAGTATTTGGGCAAGAACACTGAGAATCTTACATTAGATCGTCAGTGTTCTTGCGCAAATTCAAGTGGCCAGTATAGACAGCTGGCAAGTTTTTCCGCAAAAGCACCTGCTTTTGCAGAAAAACTTGCCAGTCTAGACGCAGCTAAACAGTTTCTATGTTCTTCTGAGGCTTTTTCAGATGAAGTGGAAACTTTTGATATTTTAACATCTGCATTTTTTTCATATAGAGCCATTTAATCCAAACACCCGGCATTAGTAATGAGCCACCATAGCGCTGTAATGTTTCCTTTCAGAAGTTCCCTACTAGTTCCTAAGTAACTTTGTAGTACGTGGGTTATTTTGGAACACAGCAGTGTCAATATTCTGTGAAATTCTCCTTAACTATAGACATATCAGATTAGTTAACTTCCAGCTGAGCTCCAATTAGTGACGGATCCAAGTGGAGGGCTAAAAATATTCTTTCTGTTCTTTTAATCCTCCAAGCAGCAGAGACCCAGTTCAGCTGCTGCCTCCTCCCCCTCCTGCCCCATAATTTTCAGCAGTCTCTGGGAAGCTGTAGAGTCTAAAGTATGTGGGTTTGTAGCAGTCCCAAGGGACTGTGGTCTGATGGGTATATACCATCTTCTGCACCCAGTAGACCCTTCACACCAGGACAAATCCACGGTTGTCGCTTTTTAAGTCAGTTTTCATGGTCTTTTTCACTAGCTGGGCA